TGAACCGCGTAGGTTGGCTTTTGTCGTCACGTGTTGACTTTCGTCGTCACGTGTTGACTTTTGTCGCAACGCGCTGTCCGGCGTTGACCTAAGGTTACGCGTTGACCGGCGTCCACCTTAGGGTTTTGAACCGCGTAGGTTGGCTTTTGTCGTCACGTGTTGACTTTCGTCGTCACGTGTTGACTTTTGTCGCAACGCGCTGTCCGGCGTTGACCTAAGGTTACGCGTTGACCGGCGTCCACCTTAGGGTTTTGAACCGCGTAGGTTGGCTTTTGTCGTCACGTGTTGACTTTCGTCGTCACGTGTTGACTTTTGTCGCAACGCGCTGTCCGGCGTTGACCTAAGGTTACGCGTTGACCGGCGTCCACCTTAGGGTTTTGAACCGCGTAGGTTGGCTTTTGTCGTCACGTGTTGACTTTCGTCGTCACGTGTTGACTTTTGTCGCAACGCGCTGTCCGGCGTTGACCTAAGGTTACGCGTTGACCGGCGTCCACCTTAGGGTTTTGAACCGCGTAGGTTGGCTTTTGTCGTCACGTGTTGACTTTCGTCGTCACGTGTTGACTTTTGTCGCAACGCGCTGTCCGGCGTTGACCTAAGGTTACGCGTTGACCGGCGTCCACCTTAGGGTTTTGAACCGCGTAGGTTGGCTTTTGTCGTCACGTGTTGACTTTCGTCGTCACGTGTTGACTTTTTGTCGCAACGCGCTGTCCGGCGTTGACCTAAGGTTACGCGTTGACCGGCGTCCACCTTAGGGTTTTGAACCGCGTAGGTTGGCTTTTGTCGTCACGTGTTGACTTTCGTCGTCACGTGTTGACTTTTTGTCGCAACGCGCTGTCCGGCGTTGACCTAAGGTTACGCGTTGACCGGCGTCCACCTTAGGGTTTTGAACCGCGTAGGTTGGCTTTTGTCGTCACGTGTTGACTTTCGTCGTCACGTGTTGACTTTTTGTCGCAACGCGCTGTCCGGCGTTGACCTAAGGTTACGCGTTGACCGGCGCTCACCTTAGGGTTTTGAACCGCGTGGGTTGACTTTCGTCGTCACGTGTTGACTTTCGTCGTCACGTGTTGACTTTTGTCGCAACGCGCTGTCCGGCGTTGACCTAAGGTTACGCGTTGACCGGCGTCCACCTTAGGGTTTTGAACCGCGTAGGTTGGCTTTTGTCGTCACGTGTTGACTTTCGTCGTCACGTGTTGACTTTTGTCGCAACGCGCTGTCCGGCGTTGACCTAAGGTTACGCGTTGACCGGCGTCCGCCTTAGGGTTTAGAACCGCTTGGGTTGACTTTTGTCGTCCCGTGTTGACTTTCGTCGTCACGTGTTGACTTTTGTCGCAACGCGCTGTCCGGCGTTGACCTAAGGTTACGCGTTGACCGGCGTCCACCTTAGGGTTTTGAACCGCTGGAAGTTGATGTGTGAAGTTCACCCCCATTTTCAACTGTCGGTGCGGGAAAATCAACTTTTGTGGAAACATTGGGGGGTAAAAGAAATGATTCGTGGTATCAAACTGTCGCGCGGGGGTCAAAACTCGGGCAAAACACCCTTGGGTGCCTCGGCAAGGCCGAGACACCAAAGGGGTGTCTCGGCATTGCCGAGACACCCATGAGGTGTCTCGGCAAAGCCGAGACACCCTTGAGGTGTCTCGGTTTTGCCGAGACACCTAGTGGTGTCTCCCCCTTAGTGGTCCCCTCCGTTTCGTCTTTTAGTCCCTCTTTCATTTGAATTTCAAGAGAGAGGTTTATGGTCCCCCCCATTTGAAATAACCCTTTTCACACTTGAATTTTCAAGAGAGAGGTTTATGGTCCCCCCCATTTGAATTAACCCTTTTCACACTTGAATTTTCAAGAGAGAGGTTTTTGGCCAAAATCTTTGGGGGGTTTTGTGAAAATTCGGCTGAAATTTTGTGGGGGTTTTTTGTGAAAATTCGGCTGAAGTTTTGTGGAGGGTTTGCAGGACCAATCTGTAAAAGCTGATTCATCTGCATGTGTGGATTTTTATCCTGAATTTGTTGGGTGCTCGAGTCACGAGACCAACTAGGGGAGTTGATGCGTCAATGACTCGCAGTTATAGAATTTTTGGCAAATCCTCAGCCATCAACGGATTTGATTAGCCTTTACCGACTACCGTTTGAGTCGGGCTAGCATGCGGATTGTTTAAGTCCGTTCCGCATGTGACGTTGTGCTAAGAGAGTTAACGCTCTTAGTGCTACGATATTGAATACGTAGACTTCGTCTTTCTCACGGGAATAGACTACCCGGCGACGCGTGTTAGGCGTTGACTTTAGGATTTTTGGCTAATCCCCAGCCTTCAACGGATTTGATTAGCCTTTACCGACTACCGTTTGAGTCGGGCTAGTATGTGGATTGTAACGCTGTGCTAAGAGAGTGAATTCTCTTAGACTTTGTGCTATGATGTTGAATACATAGGCTTTGCTATTGTTACGGGAATAGGCTACCCGGCAACACGGGTTAGGTGTTGACTTATCCTTACTTAGGATTCAGGATAAAATTCCCCGTGCGTGTGAGGCACGGATTATGGTGTTATTAATAACAACCTGCCACAATGTTGAATATGTGGTCTTTTGTCCTTTTTTACGGTCAAAGACTAACCGGCAACGCGTGTTAGACGTAGGCTTTGGGATTTTTGGCAAACCCCCAGCCATCAACGGGTTTGATGTGCCTTTACCGATTACCGTTTGAATCGGGCTAGCATGTGAATTATTAAACCCGTTTCACATGTGACGTTGTGCTAAGAGAATTGCTTCCCTTAGACTTAATGCTATGATTTTGATTACATAGACTTCGTCTTTCTCACGGGAATAGACTACCCGGCAACGCGTGTTAGGCGTTGACTTATCCCTACTCAGGCTTCGGGATAAAATTCCCCGTGCATCGAGTGCCCGGATTTGACAATCGTGTCTTTTCTAAAAGCAAAGACAGATTGAGAAACGGGAGAGGAAGAATTTTATATTCTATCTCCCGGTGCTGAAGAGGAAGAATTTTATATTCTATCTTCGGCCGGAAAGGAGACTTGGGGTGGGATCTCCACCCCCAGAATCCAGAATGGTGAAACTAGGAGTGGGATCTCCACTCCGAGAATCGAAAAGATTCAGATAACCCTAACTGTCGGAAGGTTTGGTTACTGAACCAAAGATGAATTTCTCGTTTATCGAGAGTGAATTGTGATTTTGGTCCTAACTGTAGGAAGGTTTGACCAAGCAGGAGTTTGAGATGATCCTAACTGTCGGAAGGTTTGATCACTCGATTTTGAAAGTGGACCTCTCGTTCGTTGGGAGAATCGAGAGGGGATTTTGACTGTGGTCCTAACTGTATGAAGGTTTGACCAAGCAGGAGTTTGAGACGATCCTAACTGTCAGAAGGTTTGATCGCTTGATTTGAAGGTGGACCTCTCGTTCATTGGAGGAATCGAGAGGGGATTTTTGGCTTTGGCCCTGACTTTTACAGGTTTGACCAGAAAACACAGAAAGTGGAATACGGGTAGTAAAGAAAATGCCAACTCATATTATCACTCACAGGGAGACTTTGAATGCTAGGCGTTTAGGACCTAGCACGTTAAGTCTGAGAAATGCCAATGACTGGCAGTTGGAAATGTTGGTGGATCCACTGCCGTTTGATTTGATCAGCGGATGGTTTGGTGAGGAAAGATTAGCCTATCAGAAGATTGAGTCTCATCTCACAAAAATAACTCTTAAGAGTTAGAGAATAAGAAGAGACATTCTGACCTTCAGGGTTCGAGCACCAATTCCACAATGATTGGGTTATCCCTAAGAATACCCATGTGGTATTCTTTCGGGAACTTCCCGATGCATTGGATTATCCACCCCCAGCTTCTCTCTTGGAGCTGGGCTTGACTTTGTTATCTGATCGGGTTATCCTTAAGAATATTAGTGTAATACCCTCCAGGAACTTCCCGTCAATGGTAGGGAATAGTTTAGACTCATATATCTATTGGAGTATCAAGGAGCAGTTTAACCTCTTATACTGGTCGGAGGATCAAGAAGCAGTTTATACTCTTATACTTATCGGAGTGTCAAGAAGCAGTTTATACTCTTATACTTATCGGAGTGTCAAGAAGCAGTTTATACTCTTATACTTATCGGAGTGTCAAGAAGCAGTTTATACTCTTATACTTATCGGAGTGTCAAGAAGCAGTTTATACTCTTATACTTATCGGAGTGTCGAGGAACAGTTTATACTCTTGTACTCTTTGGAGTATCGCCGTTCTCAATTGGCTTACCCCAGCGTTATAACGCCGGCTTCAACCAGGGTCTGAATGTAATTCTTGAGAGCAAGGCAATCCTTGGTGTGATGAGCAACACTTCTGTGGTATGCACAGTACCTTGGATCGGCAGAATCTTCAGCTTCCTCCTGGTTCATGATGGGTGGGAGCTTGATTTTGTTGTTTTCGAGAAGGGTCTCGAAGATGGCGGGAACGTCCTCATCTTCGAATGAGTACTCGTCCGAATTCTCCTGCTGTTCCCAGGACTGCTGTTGTGACGTTTGATCATCGTCAACAACCGTTGCAGGTGCGTCCTCTTCATCATGAGGTACGAAATCCGAATCCGGAGGGTTGACCATCAGTTGGCTCTTCTCGGCTTTCTTCCTTTTGAGGAAGCGTTCGGCCTGCTCTCCGCGTACCTTCAACTCTTTCCAGGTATTGAGCGGCTCTATTCCCATCACGTCCAAGATATTAATGGACAAGTTGTTCTGACAAGTCTGCAAGAGGAATTCCTCCGTGACGGGATCCCTGCAGTTCATCGCCTGATTGCGGAAGCGCTTGATGAAGGTATCCACCGACTCTCCGACTTTCTGTTAACGTGCTTTCCAGGTCCTCCCAGCTGTTGATGCTTCCGGGTTTGAGACGGCGGTACCAATCGAAGGCAGGCCCGCGAAGGGTGCCAACGAATGACCGAACCATCAGAGGCTCGTTGCCCGAAATCGTGCCCAAGTGGGACTTGAAGTAGATTATATGCTGAGAAAATCTTCTTCTAGCATTTGTCTTTGAGAAATTCATTCCAATATTTTTCTTCCCATTCCTTCTAAAATCTACGGAAATTCAAAATTTTGTTAAGTCACCCTTTTTGTTTTTGACAGGATCAAGATAAGCTGATAAGTAACCTTAAAACCATTCAAGATTACCTTTGTTCCTTTGAGGCACAGGTGAGCTTGTATCTTTTCAACTCTTGTTTGTACTAAGTGAAACACTTACATAGTGGGAAATGATGTTTAATTAATTTTTTTGGTGAAAGTGTTTATGTAATGAGCAATGTTTATGTAGTGAGCAATCTGCATCAATATCTCATCTGATTATTAAACTTTATTACTTGTTTCACAAGAGATTTGAAGTCATATCTAGTCGGAATTGGGAAGTGGCATTTATGCACGGTCTTGCAGGAGTTGGGAAGAGTTTTTTCTAGTTTCTTTCTCATCTAATTTACTTTTTCCCTAAATTTCTTTTAGCAGAATAAGCGAATATATAACCTACTGTACTTTCCCTTAACCTTTTTGGCAACAAAGACATCTTTAGATGAATTGCACAATATGTTACTAGGTGTCCATAATCTTCAACAGGATTGAGCTTTTCTCTTGTTACTATGATAATATATTATCTTAAAAACTATATACTAAAGCATGATGACATTTCTAGTGTAATATATCTATGGAAATGCTATTCAGGGGTTGACAATAGTGAACATTTCTGCAACGACATTTCCTCAAACATTGGATTGGCTCCACGGTTATCTTCTTCAGGTATGATGTATACCTAAGATTTGCTCCAACTAGTATCCATATATTTTTTTAATTTTTCTTTTGCATTTTTCCCCACTTGTGGCCATACTGTAGCACTAAAATCTGAAGTTGCATCCTCTGGGGGCTGACTTTATTTTATGAAGTTTGAGAATTAGGCTACGTTTGTTTTTTATTCCGCGACTAGTGGGTATTTGTTCTCCGGACTATAGTCCTTGGACTAGGTTATCCTAGGACTATTTTAGTCTAATCCAATGTTTGTTTTCATGCGGACTAACAGTCAGACTAGCTTAAAATAGTCTAAACTAGTGTTTGTTTTTAATGCTCCTATAATTGTTTGAACTATGGCATAACCAAATGACATTTCACACTGAAGTCAATAATATGGTATTAATCCGTATGTTTTGACAAACAATTCGAAGTTGAGAGCTTGTCTAAAATAGACATTTTTATCCTCAAGACGACTAATATATTTCTTGCATATCTGCATAGAAATTGAAACTCCAAATATAATCTTAACAATAGATGTTTATTTATTTATTTATTTTTTGTATAACCCAAGCCAGAATCTATGTTAGTTCTTCTTTTAACATGTAACTTGCATACATATATACATACATATACGTGTGTGTGCGCGTGTGTGTGTCTGTGTGTGTAGGGCAAATAAGCAGCATATGAGATGTGTAGTGTAGGCCAACAGGTGCAAGCTTGTACACATCTAACTAATTCATAGAGGCAGTGGACAAAGAAACATCACGGAAGTGCGCAGGAAAATTTTGTGAAAGAAAAAGTGGCAGAAAGATTTCATAGAGAATGAAGCTGGAAAAATAAATAAATGACTGATTTAATAAAATCATAGGAAAATCTAGAAAATTAAGTCATAAAATCTTAATTCCCCTAAATGATTAATACCCAGATTGTAGGGGGGGTTGGTGGGTGGGTTTAGTTTAGTCTCCTTTTTGGGTATTAATCAATCCGTCTTTTCAAATAGCCCAATCCGAATAAAAAAACAAGCACGAATTAAAATGGTGGGTCTGAACTATTTTAAAATAGTACCCTCACTATTAAAAAAAAACGTGTCCTTATAGTTGTGCTCACTTGTGGTCAGTCAATTGCATGATCTAATATCTTTGCTCTGGTACCATGTTAGTTATTAGTTACATTCTCCTAGTTGTCTTCTGCTACTTACAAATTGAGGACGTATATCTATATAGATTATTATTCATGTCCCTGCTCACACTTGCATTTACATGCGGATATACATGCATAGAAGTATACTCTCATATTCCTCAATCCAACTTCAGCTTCAGACTACAGACCTATTTCTTGTTGTAATGTAATATACAAGATTATTACCAAGGTCATTGCAAACAGAATCCAAAAAATCATGGGTTTCTTGATAAATGATGCCCAAAGTGCTTTCGTCAAAGGGAGGCTTATCTCAAGCAACTTTCTCCTAGCCCATGAACTAATCAAGCACTATGGAAGAAAGCACAATTCACCTAGAGCTATTATAAGTGTGGATCTTAGAAAGGCCTTTGATACTATAAATTGGGATTTCATCAAATCTATGCTAGTTGGTTTGGGTTCCCCTGCAAACATGATTGGCTGGATTTGGGAATGCATCACCACTCCTAAATTTTCCCTATCTTTAAATGGAGTGTTACATGGCTACTTTCATGGAGCTAGGGGGCTAAGGCAGGGGATCCATTATCTCCTTATCTATTTGTGTTAGGCATGGAATATTTGTCAAGGAGGTTATCTCTACTTAAAGATGACAGAATGTTTAAGTTCCATCCAAATTGCTCTAGATTGAAGATAACACATCTAATTTTTGCCGATGACATGTTATTGTTTGGCAAGGCTGATTTTAACTCCATCACAAAGTTACAAGCATGCTTACAGGAGTTCTGTCAAGTCTCAGGCTTAGATGTCAATCTTTGTAAATGCTCAATCTATCTGAGTGGTGTTGATGATAGCTTGAAGACTCAGTTCTGCACTCTTCTGGGCTTTATGGAGGGATCCTTGCCTATGAAATATTTGGGATTGCCATTAACAACAAAAAGGTTATCTCATCTTGAGTGCTCTTCCCTTATTAGCAAAATTACTGATCAATTCCATAACTGGCAGCAAAATAGGAAGCTATCCTATGCGGGGAGAATCCAGCTGATTAAAACTGTTATTTTTGGGATTCAATCTTTTTTGGTTAGCAATTATATATTGCCGATAAAAGTTCTTGAAAGAATTGATAAGCTTTGCTCCTCTTTCCTTTGGGGTCAAAAAATCCATCTGATCTCCTGGAGTACAGTTTGTTTAGGGAGGATGCAAGGTGGCTTAGGCCTTTTTTCGGCAAAGGAGTGGAACAATGCAGCAGCAGTTAAACTCCTTTGGATGATACATCAGAAAAAAGACCTGTTATGGATCAAATGGGTGCACGGTCACTACTTACAACACTCAAATATTTGGCAAGTTCAACATAGGGACAATGATTCTTGGATGTGGAAACAACTCCTCAAAGTTAGAAATATGTTGATAGCTAAATTTGGTAATGCTGAAGTATTGATGAGTTCACTGGATGCCTGTTGCGTCAATGGAAAAATCAATATGACAGAAATCTACAATGCCCTGTATCAACCAAATATCTCAGCAGAATGGGCAGAAACTACTTGGGGGAGATTGAACTACCCTAAACATTCATTCATCCTCTGGTTAGTCAATCATTCAAGGCTCCTTACCCAGGAGAGATTGTGTAGACTGAGATTATTAGATGTAAATCTATGTGTTCTATGTTCCAGCCAGTCTAAAAATTGCAGGCATCTATTCTTCGAATGCCAATACTCAGCTGCTGTTTGGAACATGATGATGGACTGGTTAAGATTCACTTGGAGAACTTGTAACTGGTACTTGCTCATCCATTGGTACTCTCACAACTTGAGAGGTAAGAATTTTAAGAAGAACCTGAAGAGAATGGCTCTTGCTGCTGCTGTCTATTCTATTTGGCAAGAGAGGAATAGCAGAATTTTTCAAGGGAAAGCTAGGGAGCCTGCTGATCTCTTTCGAGCAATTAAGTACTCCATTTATTCCAAAATTCTAAATGAAGATATACCTGTACATATGAAGGAAGAACTTGTGAAGTTGTAGTGTCTTTTTTTTTTTTTTGGTTACCAGGTCAAGTTCTGGCCGCCTGGTTCTTGATGTACAAATTTTCTATATTTGACTGATGAATAAAACTTTATTTCATTGATAAAAAAAAAGTATACTCTCATATGCACAAGCATAACCCAACATACACTTAAAGAACAACGTGTTTGATTATTTCTAACATTTGAGGGTAATATACCAATATCCTTTATAGTTCATATTTTATAGATTTGATACTATGTCATCTGGCTTAGTCGTGGTGAGTTAGTGATAGATTTGATGAAATCTTCAAAGCATTATTAATATGTGAATTCTTTCAACTTTCAGTGCATCGAGCATGGTGTTTCTGCTGCTACTCCCAATATTGGCAATCCCTCAAAAGTGGAATTGGGTAGTAAAAGTGAATAATTCTCGTCTCAGCCATGACGTAAATTTGAAAAATAGTGTTGTAGATTGAGATTTGACAGGTAAAACTAAAATCTACCCCTTTATCCTTACATGCATTTTAAGTACTCATGCTGCGTAGCGTCATCGTTTTTGAAAGCGAGAGCTAAGCTGAATATTGACAAGTATGTTCTAAATTTAGGTCTTGGTGCTCATTTTTGGGACCCAAAGGACTTGAATCCTCCCTGATTAATATCCATCCATCCATGTGGCAGACAAGAAATATTTTGTATTTATCACATGAAGGCAAGATAGGATTTGGATCCACTCCACTACAAAAAAAAAAAAAAAAAGGCCCACTAAAAAAAAAAAAAAAAATAGTGGAGGGACCACTACATAATCACAGCCATTGATTATCTAGTCGATAGTTATGATTTTTTTCTTTTAGTGCAAATTAGGAATGAGTGCAATACACGGGGGTATGGTAAGTGTTAGGTTTAGATTGTATCATAACCGCTTACTAAATAATCAACGCTTGAGGTTAAAAGTAGTGGTCTCTCCACTACTTTTTTGTAGTGGAGAGGATCCAAATCCGGCAAGATATACTTCGTATTTATCATATGAGCGGTTTAGCCCTGCATTGTTTTAAAATGGCAGGAGCCAACTTTAAGCCATTGAGTGACGAAACCTTGGCGCGGAACATGTTCTTTTGCATGGTAGACTACACTACATTTACTGCTGTTGTATATTTGAACTGTGCTGTATCTGCATGCGTCTTATGTTCCTCGAAACATTTTTATAACATTAATAAATAATATTTTCATCACCAAAAAAGTTGTTGCTTTATTTTTGTCATCAGATTTAACTAGCTACAAAATTCTCTCTTCTCTCTCTCCATCACTCTCGTACAGTTTTCTAAATTAAAGAATCTTTCAAGAAATCAGTTCAAGAACCAAGAATGATCAAGGAGCCATCTTCTTCATCTTTCCACAAGGAAAAATGGAGATCAAGGAGCTCGAGCTATTGCAACACCATACTAATTTGTCGTTAATTTTCTTTAAAGAAAGTTATTTACTTCATTGTGGTTCTGCTTTAACGAAGATGAAACTGGAGAATAATCAGATGAGAGGAGATGCAAAAGATGCAGAGAAAGGTAAGGAAAGCAACAAAAATAAGTCATGGTATCACATATTTTTTCAACATAAAACCCTGATTGCACAGATAATTTCACGTTACAAGTGATAGATATATAATATGAACCAAGATATTACAATACGCAAAGCCAGTTTAATGTTTACATCTTGTATGGGAATGAATACACTGATCACTGGTACAACAGAACATTTACATCACTGCAGTGTTTATACGACAGAATGTTTTGCATCCTTCCTGTAGAAATTAACAGCACCCTTGTTAGTTGCTCCTAGAAAATTTCTTGTAGAAAGAAGTTGAGAAGCAATAAATTTGAAGGATTGGCGATCAGATTACGAAGCATGAGTATTAGACAAAAAAATAAAATTTTAATGACGATAAAATGTGTATTTTAGATGGAAAGCCGTGTACGGAGCCTTTTGCTGGCAAAGTGGTAATAGAAAGTGAGGAAATACTAACGGACTGGTCATTGTTTACTCTAAATATATAAGTCACTAAGGAAAGGAAAAACACAGCAAACAGATCAAATTATAAGACCCGCAAGCATAACTTTATTTATTCATGCAAAAGACTAGTCGCCCATTACAGTAGCTCAGAAAAAGACTTCAGACTTCACCGGAGCACAGCATCACTCCGAACCCATGGAAACCTTAGCAGGCTCACATTTATTCCATATATAGCATTATTATTTAAACCCACAGGATATCACTCAGCCACATCCTGTGCCTTAGGAGCAACGATAGTACTCGGATCCCTCTGCAGTATGCCAAGATATTCCAGCAGTTCAACCATGGTTTTAGCCACAACCGTTACTGGATCATAATTCGGTGCTGGTCCCTCAACCTCAAGTGTCTGAGGAACCCATTTATAGGTAGGATCAGCATCATAGAACAAACAACATCCAGAGAGCTGTCCCCACCGATGGACCAGGGTATCGACCCAAGCGGGGGCGTTCCGGCTTTCCTGCCATGTCCTCCTAAAATAGCTACTAATCGGCATAAACCTCGCACACTCACAGAACATGCCAATCACAATGAGCAGCGCTTGGGCACTTTTCTTGACGTCCTTTGGGTTTTGAAGCCATTGTGCCGCGTATATGAGCTTCTCACGCCCAAAGGTGACTTTAGTGAGACCTCCTGTTGTCTCGAAGCCAGCCGCGCTTAACAGGTCATTGTAGTTATGCCCGTAAGGAAGAAGTGTTGAGTCTTTAGCGATCAGGTGCTCCTTTCCCAGCTCGAACCATTTACCGTTGTTGTTCAGGCAAAAACCCTGTAAGTAGAGCTGGTCGCGTCGGATCCTCAGCCTGACCGTACTCTTCCCGCCATCGGAAGCAAGTACAACGTCGTACCAAGTGAGCTTCTTCTCCCATTCAGGATCCTTTTGGTCGACTACAGTGGGGAGTACAGGACGATTGCGACACCAAGTCGCTGCGTTCTCCTGACGCATCTTCTCGATACTGCTCACGTAGTTTCCCGCCGTCAGATCATAGCTAAGGCTGATCTCTATGGCTTTGATCTCGCTGGCCTCCATTTTCTCACTCCCTGCACTAGATAAACGGAAACGACCAGACGATTGTGTGAGTTTCGTCGCGTTGGGGGAAGGGGGGGTTGGGGGGTGGGGAGGGGGTTATGAAAACATTGCAAATAGAGTTAGAAGATACATACTACATAGTTAAGTACGCTTGGACTCATGATTCAAATAGGATTCATTTTGATTGAACTGGGTCCAAATACATTATCCTAGCCCATCTAGATACTCCAAAGATTTGATGAGTGGAAGAGATCTCTAACAATAATCAAGATAATTGCCGGATTTGAGCTCTCTCACTACGCTTTAATGGTTTAATGATAGACATCTGATGATACCTGAATGATTATAATTTGTTCATACACTAAGATGAAATTTGCACTTATTCTCAACCTTCACTTAAAAAAGGCTTAATATCAGAACCCCCTAACTTTAAATGATTATTAGAAACCCCCCATTAACTTTTAAAATATCAAAAAAACCCTTAAGTTTAGGGGTTATCAGAAAACCCCCTTTAACTTTAAGGTTTTATCACAAACCCCCCCTAACTGTGTTATCCCTTATTATCCCAATTTCTCAGCAAACAGAAACACTCCCCAGTTACGGATTTCACCCCTGCGTAATGAAAAAATTTAAAATTTAGTTTCACACATTAATCTTATTTCTTGCAGGAAAACCTCGCCCACAAAAAATATGTAGGGTGCTAAACCGTATCCGTATTCCAGGAAATATCTGCAACTATATTCGTTAGGATACGGATATGGTTACTCAAATCTATAACTGATACAATATGGTTACGGATATGGTTTTGTAGTGAAATATCTGTATATCCGTATCCGAAATATCCGAATACATATTAGTCATACTCTTACGATAGTTTACGTTATTAGATTATGGATTTGTGATTAATTTTGATGATCAAAATATCTAATCTTAACTTTTCAATTATAATGAACATATTAACAAACTCTTTTGTATCACATGAACTATGTTTTTCACCATACTATCTAGTTTGCTCATATCCGTTTTGTTTCCACATGCATATCCGCTCATATATCCGCATGTATATCCGTAATCATGTCCGATTTTAGCGGATATGGTTATGAATTTTTCTTACCGAGGTATATCTGTATCTGTATCCGTATCCGAGATGGGTAAACGGATATGAATATGATAAGCATCATATCTGAACCGCATCCGGACCGAGTGCACCCCTAGTAATGAGGGATAACGCCATTATGGGCTTTTTTTATATCATACCTCAAAATTTAAGGGGGTTTGCTGATAACCCCTAAACCTAAGGGGGGGTTTTCTGATATAATGCCTAAACAAAAATCATATCGTAATTAGACGATATATATATATATATATATATATACTGGAGTGGTGTCTTCATCATTTACGTTAATTGTAACATCATGCTGGATCTGGACTTCTCGTGCTATGTCTTTCCTTGGGCTCATTCATTTTTTATCTTCACATCTAACTTTACAAGTAATTTAAATGAGAATAAATGTTAATGAGAACAAATGTTAATTATATATATATATATATATATATATATATATATGACAATAATTAAAGAACCGGTGTTAAACTTGCAAAGCAATAGAGAAACCCATATGCTGAAACTACCATACCTTCACCTGCTATCTTCACCCCTTCCTCGATGTTTCTAACTTTATCTAAGGCTGAGGGGGGTATTTATAAGTGCTGAGAACCAAACATCGTACATCTTGATATTTTTTGTATAGAATGGAGACAAGAATTCAGCATTATTAGAATTGGACAAGAGCACAGCATTATTAGAATTGGTTAAACAAAATGGGGTATCTAACTTATAACCTCATGCAGTAAATGTAAAAAATATATGAAGAAAATAATTAGACAGTTTCAGAAGTTAGTAATGTATACTAATATATTTCAATTGGGCTTAGAAAACCTTGGTTTGGTTAAACCCAGTAAGCTCAAATCCAAATTAATCATCTGTTTTGGATAATTAGTTGGACATAATTTGAACAATAATCGAACTTGGTTAGATTTAATTACAGAGGCGCTCTAGGGAATCAAAATATGATATTAAGACTTGGTTTAATGCTAAGAAATGTTGTTGTTGGTGAAGACTAAACTTTACAAAGCTACGAAAGTTATTTATGGTCCCATCCTACGTGTTTTCGGCGGTGGGAATTAAATCCTAGCCCCACTTCTATGAAACATCGTACATCTTGATATATTCTTATAAAGAAAGGAGACAAGAATTCGGCATTATTAGAATTGGACAAGAGCACATGTAATGGGGGTATCCAACTTATAATATCATGCAGTAAATGTAAAAAATATATGAAGAAAATAATTATTTGCCCATGATTTGAAACTATTTGAGAACACGAAAATATCTGCTACTAGTTTGAAACA